TCGGTGGACAGCTCCTGGAGGGCTTGTTTGGTTTGTTTGGCAGTCTGGGCCTGGGGACTGGCTTACAGATTTCTCCCTCGAGTTGGCTCAGAGCTGACCCTGGGGAAATCTGTTAACAAGGGTGTGCTGAAGATGCCCCAGAGACAGAAACACATGTGGAGAGACCGGGTGACACCTGCAGAGCCTGGGAGACTGTGGCAGTGGATGACAACCGCCTGTCCACTGAGGTCTCCTCAGGAGGCGGGCACATTTAAACTTGGGAGAGTTTTTTTTAGAAGGGATTCTTTCTAAAGGTGTGGGGTACACCTGAGAAACCAATAAAGGGGGAGCCAGGACTGGCGGCATATGGCTGTAATCCCAGCACTCGGGAGACTGAGGCAGGAAGATGGAAGAATCTAAAGCTAGCCTGGGCTACATGGGATACCCTGTCTCCAAAAAACAGGACTGGAGATGTGACTTCAGTAATAAGGTGTTTGCCTAGAATGTGGGAGGCCCTGGGTTCCAGAGAGCGATCTTCAGAGAATAATTCCCAAGAATGGTGGCTCCCCACTGCTGGGCCTGCAGCGGGAGGGAGGCAGGGGTTCTGCCTGCTGCTGCTTGAGGGTGTGAACCATGACAGCCTGGGAGGGAGGGAGGGACAAGAGTAAACACCCTCTCCTGGTCACAAACAGCAGGAAGCTGAGAACAAGGGAGCCATTGACTCCCTCCAACGGCTTCCCCAGGGCCCTGAGCAGAAGGGTGGGCAGTGGCTCTGGAGGGCAAGCATACCATGTGCCTGCCTGGGGTGCCCTTTCTCAAGTCTACATCACCGAAGCTTTAGCCCTCTGACTTGCATACGGGAAGGGAAGGGGTAAGTGGGTTGTTGCTGGGACATCGGTTAGAAGGTGAAGGGCCCGACTCTGTCCCCTCAGCTGTCCTCTGACTGATTCCAAATTCCTGATGCCTGCACATCCTAGCATCCACAAGAACAATGACAGGTACAGAGTGTCTTTCTCACACCGGGAAACAACGCACCACACCCACAGGCTCACAGGTGTGCTGTTGCCACAACAGGTCCCAGACAGTCACCCCAAGCCATGACTACTGGCACAGATACATCAAGAAAATGTATGTCCTGGCACATTAGTACACTGTGCCCGTCATACAGAAAATAGCCTGAGCCTTGCCACATATGCACAGAAGACAAACTTGTCACCATCATTCATGTGGCATTACAATGCAGGGGTGGGGTGCAACATCGTGAGTCTGACAAACCTCTTGGACCACTTTGGCCTGTTTTTGTCTCTAAAATGGAAATAGTACTATTCTCTGGCGTTGTTAGAAGGATGCAGCTCCAAGTGATGTTTGGGCGTAATACCCAAGCATAGCATCTGGCCTGGAATAAATCATGCTAGACAGCTGTTGCTGTGAACTTCAGCCACCACCACCCCACTTCCTCCCATCCATGCACGTGTGTGTACTGGCTCCAGAGAGTACCCACACCCACACAGGAGCGGCCAGACATCCTCAGGCACACGTGCCCTCCTTCAGACACGCCTGCCAGGGCACGTGTGCATTCACAGACAAGTTCCCTTGGCCCAGAACACTTTCTCCAGACAGCTACATGGCTCACTTCCCAGAACCTGTCAGCCTTTGTTCAATCGAATACCATCTTTCAATGAGGGGCACCTTGTGTGAATTGAAGTCCCTGGTTACATACATTTTTATGCATTGCTGACCTCCTAAGACCACAGCTTACCTTATTAGGTTGTAACTGTCACAAGAGTAGGGATCCTAAGACCCAGAACCATAACAGGCATATGGTTGAGCTCAGACAGTGCATACACACAAAGACCAGGACCTCCGGGTTTTTCATCTGAACCAAGCGCGTCCAGGTGAACCCTCACCCCAACCCATTGAGCCTGCTGTGTTTACATTGCTTCCAGCTCAGGTTCAGGCTTACATAGCCAAACTGGGAGGTAGGTTCTCTCTGAGAGCCTTAGTTAGGTGGCCACAGCTGGGTGGGATAGAGCCTTTTCATTTCCCCTTCCAGCTGTTTAGAGCAGTGAGAAGGAACTGAGGCACCTAGCCAAACCCACAGAGCAGGTGAGGACTCCCTCTGATGACCTGGGGCCGCCTCTGTTGCTTTAATTTTTTCCACCCTGACAGGAACCATCAAAGTCACCACTTCAGAGCAGCCTAATGAGGCTGAATGTGTTCAAGGCTTTGGGATACCCAGATCAAAGAGGCAGGGTAAACAGTGGGCAGCGTCCAGAGGTGAGTGGCCAATGCCCTGAGGGAACAGCTCCCCAAAAAGCTGGCACTGCTGGACCACTTAGCTGGCCCCAGCTGGGTTCAGAGAGACCCAGCGCCTCTCCAGGAAACCTGTTTACAATAAGCTAGAGCATACCCATGTCTACTTGCTGGGGAGACCCTACCTGGAGTCTGGGGGATCCTCCAAGTCCCCCAGTCCCAGCTTTCATTCCAGTTCAGATTCACTCTGCTTGCTTCCTGGGGAGATAGTTGGGAACACCTCCTCACCAAAGGCCAGGTTCAGGCCTCTAGGTCTCCAAGGACAGAACCTGGAGAGATAGATATGCGTTCCTTTTAACACAAGAGGTCTAGACTTGCTGAGGCAACATGGAGACCAGCCACACTCCCAGTTCATAGCTGTCAAGCTGTGGACAGGAGGGACACACCACAGCCACTCCTTGGCTCCTCACACAATACAGGTCAGACTCAGCCTGGGGAGGTAGTGCCAGCCCTATGCCATAGAGATCCTTACTCCGGGAGACAGCATACAGTTATGCTCGCTCGGTGTAGACAATCTTTATTGGTGGGAAGAGTGCAACACAGCAACCAGTCCAGAGGGATGGGGAGAGAGATGGGTCAGGCCTCCCTCCCCCTGTGTGAAAATCCTGTAACCAAGCAAGTGGGGTGGGCATAGTTGACTGGCAACTTTGAACCCAGCAGCCTCCAACATTAAGTGCCCAGACAGCAGGGTTCCTGGGAGGCCACAATGGAAGGGAGAGGGTGACATACTGGGAGGTGTATGGGTTACATCCTCTCCTGGCTCTTTAGAACCTGTTCACTATATACCTCAGCAACTCAAGAAGCCCATGCAAGTCCCAGGAGACTGAATTCCCATCTCTCAAAAAATCCAGGGAGCTACCTTATACCTTAGTTTACCTCCTCCTAATGGTCAGTGAAGGGCCACCAGGCTCTGTGAGTCATTCAGCTAGACCCCCAAGTGAGTATCCTGTCACATGACGTCATATTTTAGCCAGCAAAGGAGCTTCTGGGTCCCTGTGGGCTGACCCCATCTAGGTCATGGAAATCAACCGAAGGTGTTGCTACGGAGACTGCTCCCGCACCCCAGAGCTGACTTTGTCCGTGACCCGAGTCATGCAGGTCCAAGAGTGTGGTGGGATGACCAAAGGGTCCTCCTGTCAAGAACCTGACTTGGCTTTAAGCCCATAGGAACCTCATACAGGGAAAATCTGATCTGTTCAAAGGCCCAGACCTATAGTCCCGGCCCGCTGGCACAGGTGGGCTGTGTCTGGTCACATCCTCCACACATACCTGAGGACTCTGCCCCAACCCCATGGTGCACATTCCCTCCTGGCCAGGATGAGAGTCAGTTGCAAGGCAGCCAGGTGGGATAGGAGTGAGCCCGGGGCAGCAGAGGCTGCATGGGGGTCACATAGTAATTAACCGTGGCTGGCACGACCCCATCAGAGCCCGGACGTTGCCAGGCCAGGGCAGCCATGGCAGCGGGGCCCTGCTCAGCTAGTGCCTGGAGGGCTAGCATGGTGATAAGGTCTAGGGTCTGGCGGCGCTCATGGCTCATGAGGCACACTGTACTCTCGTTGACCACCTGGTGCAGTGTCACAAGGCAAGCATAGCGGCGGGATGCATCTGCTCCACCAAAGTGGGCCTCCAGGTAGCGCTCCAGAACGCGCCTCTGCTCCACCAGGTCCGGAAAGTCGATGAAGAAACGGGAACACATGTATCTCTGTAGGGCCCGAACATCAGTGCTGGGCCTTGGCCTGAAGCCCCGCACCAGCAGGTGGCAGTACTTGAGGAGGCCACCACCACGGATCTCCTCGGGGCTTCGTGTGGCAATGACACGGTGCTGCAGGTGCTCCAAGGCCTCAGCAAAGTCCCCGTATAGGCTCTCGCCTGTCACAGTTGGGTGGAAGGCCTCTGACATCGGTGTGGGAGAACACTGGCCAAAGAGCAGCAGGGAGTCCAGGATGATCTGGAAGGAGTCAACGCTGAATTCAAACTGGCGCCTCACGGAGTCCACGAACTTGAGTTCCACGTTCTTACCACTCTTGTTGGACAGTGAGATGAGGCTCCAGCGGTCCAGGTCTGTGCACACTTTCACCAGCTTCTGAACGTAGGCCTCCTTGAGTGTCACTGGCGTGATCTTGGCCCGGCTTACTCCCACTGGCAGGAAGTCCAGGAGGCAAGCCAAGACCACTGCCTTGGTCAGCTGGAAGGATGCCTCACTCTGCAGGTCCATCTGGAACACCAGGTCCAGGTCCTTGTAGCCTAGGCCACTCTCAGGGTGCAGCACGTGGCTGGCGGCTGAGCCGTGCAGCCGCACACTGTGTACATGCAACCCCTGTTCCTCCAGGCTGCTGCGGACCACCTACAGGGGAGGGGGGGAGGAGAGAAGGGTCAGGTGCCTGGGCCTCTCAGGTCTGCACCAAGGACTTCCAGGATTGATTAATCATGCTACCACCCATCACTGTTGACCTCTTACCAGCTTCTGTGTCTTTGTGAAGTCTTTTAACTTACAAAGCCTTGATTTGCCAATCTGGAGAAGGGCCCAGTTGAAAGGAGTGACTCAGAAGAGCAATAAAAATAACAAATGCAAGCTGAGAACTTACGAAGCACTTTACATTAAAATACAACCTCACTTAATCTTCATAATAACCTGATGAGGCAAGGTATATTCCTGCTTCTCAGGTTGGGAAATAGAGGCACAGAGCAGCCTGAGAACTGTCCAAAGTCACACAGCTGGGAAATACAGAGCTGGGCATTCAGCACAGAGCCTTGGTTTTCCCACCATGCTACCTGCCCTTCCTAACACGGCAAGGCAAACACTTGGTATCTCGCCAGGCACTGCGTGATGGGCTGCTTAGCACCCCACCTGCCTTTGCACATCAACTCCCATGCAAACCTTTTTTGAGGACTACTATCCCAGAAGACAGATAAGATAAAGGAGTGTAAAATGACACGGCCAAGGCTGTGGCGTAGGCAGCCGAAGACTGGAACCCAGGTTGGTTAGATTCACAAGTCCATGTATGCCCTTGAATTTTTAAAATTTTGACTTAATTTTATTCATCTTTTTATTTTTTTTTCTTTTTTTAGAGACTGGGTCTCACTGTGTAGCAGCTCTGACTGTCCTGGAACTCATTCTGTAGACCAGGCTGACCTTGATCTCAGAAATCCGCCTGCCTCTGCTTCCTGAGTGCTGGGGAGAAAGGGGTGCTCTCCCACACCCAGCTGTTTTCAGTTTTTACATTTTTTTAATGTATGTATATGTGTGTTTTGCCTGCATGTACACATAAACTCCATCCATGGAGGCTAGAAGAGGGCTTCAGAGTCTTGGTACTGGGGCTATAGTGGTTGTGGGTTGTCCTGTGGGTGCTAGGAATAGAAGCCAGTCCTCTGCAAGAACTGCGAGTTCTCTTAACTGCTGAGCCTTCTCTCCAGCCCTGTTCTTTTCTTGACTCTTTTCATCACTATGACACATTCTTTTTTTTTTTTTTTTTTTTTTCTGCTTGTTTGTTTGCCCTCACAAGGTTCCAGGGAAGCAAATACTACATGAGCAGAAGCCATTCAGAAATGATAGGGCTGAGTTGGGAGTGGCGGAGCAGGCCTGTAATCCCAGCCACTTAGGAGGCTGAGGCAGGAGGATATGGAGGACCCCACCTGGAGCCCCAGGGGTGATGGCATGGGAACATGACCGGGACACCTGTGAGTCTTCTGGAACTTGGTTCTTAGCTGGAGCCCTGGGCAGTGTCACTCATGGGAGAGGAGTGAAGCTGGGGGTGGATACAGACATTTGGTTTCTCAGCAACCCCAAGCCCTTCACATGGGTGTCCTGAAAGTGACCAGGCAGCATTCCTGCCCTCAGTGACTCTGCAACCCCGCCTCATTGCCAAGTCAGCGCAGCTCTGGGGCAGGTTGTTCCCCAGCCTCCCAGGGAATTACTGTGAAGGAAGAATGCGTGTAAATGCTGAGGAGGCAAGCTGCAGTGGGGCAATCTGAGGCGGGCGGCTCCCTCCAGGAAGACTTCCGGAAGGCAATGGCAATGGGGGTGGGAAAGGGAGGAGTGCCAGGGTTAGGTATTTAGTAAGTACCAGATGCAGGACCTCAGCAGAATCCATGGTGGGGGAGGGGACTTGGGTGCGGCTTGGCTGCACAGGACATGCTTGACATGTGTGTAGAGTCCATCCCCAGCACCAAAACCTAACCAAAGTAACCAATCAACCAAACATGAACCTACGGGGATAGATCTTCATGATCTCCATGGTATAGGTGGGGACACAGGTTCACAGACGTGAAGTCACATCCTTAAGATCAAACCCAGCTATGGCCAATTCCAAGCCTGTCTCTTTGTTTTGCTGCCGAGTGAGGATTGAACCTGGAGGTCATGTCTGCTAAACCCACTCTCTACACATGGCCCCCTACTCCCCAGCACAGCCTACCCTCCTCTCTGCCACATTCAGGCCCAGGCTTCAGAAACAGCAGACAATACACTTGTATTCTAATCCTGCCCTTTCAAAACTTCAGCTGGGCATGTCAGAGAATGCCTGTAATCCTAGAATTTGGGAGGCTGAGACAGGAGGATCTCTCAGAATTGGAGACCAACCTGGGATATATATATATAGCAAGACCAAATGTCAAAATTAAACCAATTTCCACACTCCTGTCTATCTATCTATCTATCTATCTATCTATCTATCTATTTATCAACCTACCTACCTACCTATCATCTATCCTTACACACACACACACACACACACACACACACACACATACACACACACACACACACACACACATTTGAGACAGAGTCTCAGTAGCTCAAATTAGCTTCAAACTAGCTGAGGTTGTCCTTGAACTCCCAATCCCTGTACCTCCATCTCCTAAGGGAAGGAAATGCAGGTGCACCACCACAAATTACCAAGGCCCAGAGTAGGTGGTGGTGGGAAGGTGGGGGCTGGGAATGGCTTTAGCCAAATAGGGCCAGTTCCTGTAGCCAGCATGTGAACTTTCAATTGCACACCCCAGCAACTGTCCCCAGGTAGCCAGTGAGAGACCATCCCCCTCCGTGAGTCTCAGGTGAGCTGACTGGGCCTTAGTGCCAACTCCTGCTCCCCAGCTGATGCCCACTCCAGGGCATGGCATCTAGCCAGGTGAGTGAGGACGTAGCAATCCCCTCATTATATCCCCTGCGTCAGGGCCATGGGGCCAGTTGTGTCAGTTGTCTCTTTCCCAGGTATGACTATTGCCAGTTTGACAGGCGGTCCCCAGATACTGCCACACCCAAGGACTGCAGGGCAGCTTGCAGCCTCCCAAATCAGACTTTCCAACCATGGAGGGGGCACTGACTGTAGCTTCCTTCTCCTGTCCTGAGGCACCCAATTCCCCAAATTGCTCTGTCCAGGGCTTCTGCTGAGACCTTGGGAAGACTGAAGAGTTGCAAAGCTTGCAAGAGCAAGCCCTCTGGCTGCTGCTGGAGAGATCAGATCGTTTAGTTCAGTTCTCTGGGGTAAGAAAGCAAATGACTTGTTCAAGGTCACAAGCACAGTAAGTGGCTGAGTTGAACTAGAACCCGGTCTCCAGAACTAGAGAAGGGGATCCAGTAAGAAGGGGTCCCTTTAGCCAGGCACAAGCAAGGATGTATTTTTCTAGCTGCTCAGATTGCTGCAGTAGGGAAGACCCTGTTGGGTGCAAAGGTAGAAGGCTTCCATTCTTGAACCAGGAAGCACTGGGGAGAAGCCCTGAAAGTTCCTCCCTCCCCAGATCCTTAATATCCCCACAGCTTTTAAAGCTGCTAGCTGTGGATCCCCACCAGGAGACAGACTGATTGCATAGGCAGGCGAAGGCCCATGTTCCCTTGGGAGTCTGGAACCAGACAGGATATTGCTGAGTAGTCAAATCCACTTCCATTGCACAGATGGGGTGGGGGCATGAAGCCCAGCTGAGGGAATAAACAATGAACCCAGACACCCAACTTCAGTCTAGCCCTGAGGCCTCTGCCACCTCCCTACTCCACAGCCAACAGTTCCCTGTTCTGGGATACCCCTAGTTTAGGGGGCCATACCATGAAATTGGCGCCCTCACGTGACTAGGAGACAGAGGTTGGTACCCAGTCACATTTGTGCCCTTAGTGTCAGTTTAGATACTTGTTCCTGCTGAGGTGTGATCACTCTGGGCAGCACCTTTGCATCCCTGCATGCCTGGGACTATGGTATTTCCTCAAGAGAAAAACAAGCATTCACCTGTAATCCCAGCTACTCAAGACACTGGGGCAGGTGGATCATTTGGGCCTACAAGTTTGAGAAGGTGGCCAGGCAAAACATAGGAAGACCCTGCCTCAAAACAAAACAAGTCAAAGCAGGCTTATTAATAATCCAGACAACAGTGGGCAAGCAAGGAATGCTTTAGCCAGCTCCACTGGGACAACCAGTGAGTCAGCCCAGGAGAATCCATCCCTGCCCCCTCTGTCTCATTCCTTGTTCCTAGGAAGGGAGGGTAAGACCAATCCCCAGCAGCCACCCTCCCTCTCTGTTGGAGGCCAGAGTAGCAGGGGGATGTCCAGCTTTACCTGGTTTGTGTGTAAAGTCCATGAGTGGCAATAACACACAGGAAGCATCACTAGACTTTTCTGGTTTCTATTATTGGACTCGCCTAAGATCTAGATGCTGAACTTGGGAGTCAGGGGAGTGGTGGCTAACTCTGGAACCTGTACCATCTGTTCCCGGGGAACCCCCGGAATCCCCCGAGTTTTATCTCCACCATACAAAGTAGTCTTAGGCAGCAGCTCACCTCCTACCTGAGGCCTCAGCTGGAATGGGGGCGGGGGATGAGAACAGGCACCCCCTTGATATTTCAGAATACCGAAGCGCTCGGGCTATAGCCCCAAAGAGTAAGTTTGAGGTCATACAGGGTTAAGAAAAAGGAAGATGGAATTTGATGGAGGGAGCAGCTGCTAAAGCCTTCCCCAAACATCCTCAGGAGGTGGATAGTGCTTTGGGGTCATTTCCAGTCTTAAAGGAGGAGGAACACCTAAAATGGAAATTTGATGCTATCTTCAGGGGTGGGATCTCGGGTCTGGCCAAAGCACGTGGGAGGCATGAATCTTCCCAAGGATTTCTGAACTGTCTCACCTAGCCAAGGTTTCTTGAGCCAAGGGCTGTGGGAACCTAAGGACAGTGCCCCTGGAACCCTGAGGGTGCAGGAGGTCCAAGGATGTGGAGTAGAGGAAGAAAGCTATTTTGGAACAAAGCACACGCACTCCTCATTGGCGGCTGCCTTTGCTTGCAGATAGAGAGATGCCTCCATCTAGTGCTTCCTCATCTCCCAGCCTGGGTCTTGGTGAGTGGTCCCCAGGGGATAAGGACTCCCCAAGACTGTGGGCAGGAAAGCTCAATAGGGTGCGGGGAGAGCAGAGCTGGCAGCCCCGGTTCCCATTCCTTAGTTAGTTAGTT